CCCCAGCATCCCCAGTTCACTGCACAGCACAAAGCAAATGAAGTTGCTGTGTATAGGACTTCATTCGTATCTACTGAAGACATGGGACCGCAGCAGAAGCATGAAGCGGGGAACTGCAGAAGAAGAAAGGGTGAGCTTAGGATAACCCAGTGCTGCTTTAACAAACTGCCCCTGACCCCAAGCTCTACTATAGTACTAAGGCATGGAAAAATCATTTTCACCAGTGTGTTCCCAGAGCCATCAGCTGCTCCTTTTACAACTCTAAAGCTAGCCTAAGACAGCAGACTGCATCCAAGGGCAACAGTTTTGTTATTAATATATTTTGTTATTAGTCTATAAGTGCTCTGCAAAATCATGCCCTTGTTTTCTCAGAATGTCCACCTCCACTTAGCTGACCCTTCAGAGTGCCCTGGTGCTGATCCATGTTTCTCAGCGCCACATGAGAGCACTGGGAATAACAACGGCTACAGAGCACCTAACAATGATAGGTGCTCTGTAGCCATTGACATTTACAGTTGAGATACTAGAATGATGCTCCAGAAAAGGAAATGAGTAGCACTGGAGCACTTGTTACTGAGTGAGGGCTACTCAATCCGTACACTAAATGTATTGTGGAGTCTGTGAGAAAGGCAATGCATAATGATGTAGCTAGAAGACGATGCCATAACGTAATTCACAAAGGGAAAAGCATTCATGTTGCATGGGTGACTATAAAGACAGCATTTCTTTTCCCCCAGTATTTGACTTGCATCCTTAACACACTTGCATGTAATCTTTCTCCTTCTTCACTGAAGACACACAGCTGTAAAATATTGACCTGATAGCTGCCACAAACTGTTACACATTAGGAGCAAAACAGCAACCAAATTACTTACTATATCCTTCCTATGCATGAAGCCATGTTTAGAAAAGCAAATTTCCCTGCACATTGAAGGAAACTGTTGCATGCATGTCTATTTTGCATGTGCAAAAGAAAACTTTCCATACACAATGAGTATACATACAAATGGCTTTTGATTATAATGTAAGTATCAACTTTAGAAATTTATGTCCCATTAAATAATTCATGTTATCCTCCTAGCAGATGAAATCCAAAAGTGTCTATTGAGGAACTAAATTAGCGAAAGTGGGGATTCAAAAAATATTGTCCTCTGCATTGCAATAGTAACACTTCATTATTGGTTTATATGGAAAACAAAACAAATTTGTAGCTCAGAGATAAGCCTTGGTTAATATAGCCATACAGGACATAAGGGGAAACGGGACTGTGCTTTCCCCTGCCTAGATACCTCCCCTGATGTAAAGCGAAAGAGCTCTGCCACACTAACTCATTTTGCACAGGGTGGAGGCAGATTCAGCTACATTGACACCAATAAACTGGCTACTAGAGCAGACCACAATGTGGAGAGGATGCAATAGCTACACATGAGGAAAAGCCCGAAAAAGAAATCACTCCATACCAGGCAGTACAATAAGGTAGAGACAAATTCTGGAAGCCAACTGGGCAAGATACAACTGTATTTCAAGGCTCAGGCTAGGTAGCCCAGCCTAATTGACAGTAGGGGCTGGCTTTTATAATGTCAGAAAATTCAAGAGAATAAATCATTGTATAGAAGGCAGCAAGAAACATTTGACCTCCGAATTGTGAATAGTGCTGCTGGTATAAAGCTACTGGTTTTAGAGTGTATTCAAATCCATTATGCATTGAAGATCTAAATAACATAGCTAAGCAACTAGAAAATTACATAGAAAAAAAATAAGATAATGCATGGGGACTACATTATTGCAGCTTGGTGGAAACTGTTCTTCTGAGCGTTATCTCCATCTTCATACCCTGTACAGGATTCCTGTTTGTTCCTGGAATCATACCGACTGAGACTAGGATATAGGTCTTGGCCTTATTATCTGATAGTTTGTAATATCTACTACTTGATGACCTGATGAGAAATTACACTTTAGAAAGCTTGATATTAATTTAAAACCTACAAGGTTTTGTTCATTATTTCTGAGACAGCCTATTCAACTCCTAGTCAGCAGCTACAGCAAAGTCTGCTGACCCCATTGATGAGGTAATCAATTATGCTGGAACAAAACAAACTAGCAAGTAGAAAGAAAGGAAGCCTATGATTTTACACAGAGCCAGAGAAAACAGAGAGAAAGAGCATTTGGCAAATGACACAGGACAAAATATTTCAAGTTCCAAGAAGATATATTTTAAATTTGTATTAAATATGATTTACAAAATCAATGTTCTTCTATGCTGGACAGCTTTATTTGGAGAGAATGAAGACAAACCAGGGCATGCATCCAAAGCTGTGGCTCTAAAGGCATGTGGCACTCTGGAATGGAGGTTTACATGCCAGCAACTGCGATTATCCCAACTAGCAATGATTTAGCATTCTGTGATGTCTAGAGCATAAAAAACACAGGCTATACCTTTATATCACAGCCATCTGAAATCCAGGTTTAAATTCTGCCTTTAAAGAGACTGCAGCACAGCTTGCTGCTGTGTGAATGTTGGAGAATAAAAATGATTAATTCTGCCCATCAGTGAAGTTTTTGCTTATGAGTATCACAAGCCTTTGCTGTGTGCAGCAGAAAAAAAAGAAAAAGGAAAATCATTTTTATGCTTAGTTTCAAATACTTATTCAAACCCATCTAACAGTGCTAATTACCAAACACTGGGAAGACCAAATAAAGCATCATAAAATGCTAACTTAAAACAAAAACAACCCCACAAAACAAAACACCTTAAACCTAACTGCATTTGCCACATTTTTTTTAGTGCATGATTTTACAATCCTGAGTGCAGAAAAGATTTTCATATTAAAATTAACAGAAGAAAGTAACTGGAAAAGAAGTAAATCAAAATGGAAATATATCATGCAATATGAGCTCCCATGATGAGCTCAACATCTGAAAAAAAAAGAGCAGAATGATCAATTCCTCACCACAAGAAAGAGAGATGCAAAGACTGGCTTGGGAAAAAAAAAGATTTCCTTTTGGAATCACCACAGCGGGAGCCAGAGGAAGCTTTGCACCCAAAGACCTAATGTTGTCTGTGAAGCTAACAAAACTAGTCTGGAAGAAGACTTCATCTTTTCATCCCCTTCCACTTCACTGCTCATCTCCCGAGTGCTTGATCCCAGTTTTCTTTTTCTGAAGATTTTTTTCTCCCTCCCCCCTTCCTCTCCTTTTTTTTTGATGCTGATGTGGAGCAGCATGGGTGCCTGATGCCAGCTGCCTCCTAACAGGGACCCTGCCTTACTCATTTGCATAGTCACATTCAACAATTACAGAATATACCACGAAGGACCCAGAAGGGGTCAGTGATGGAGGTAGTGCTGTAAATCCAGTAAGCCCCCTGAGCCTGGCAGAGGACAGGTATGAGTATTGTGGCTGGTGTAGGCCAGCCCACATGCTTGCTGGTGTGTCATGCTAAGGGGATCAAAGACCTCAAAAGCGAGGCAATGCCTTGTACCATAGAATGCTTTGGAAGGAAAAGATGGAAACAGCCTACCTAAGCCAGCCACTAGCTGCCCAGTTTACCACAAGGGTGTAATGTAAAACTTGACTTGACTGAGGAGGAATCCCCAGTGGGGATTTCTGGACAACGTGCCCTAGGATGCCTCACCACAGGACAATGACAGTGTGGCTATGGGGCTGTTGGCTAAGCTAACAGTCACCTTCTGTACCGAACCACAGACTAAAAGAACCATGAGAAATACAATACCCACTACATAGACGTATTATTTTTGAATTTATGCATAGAAAAATTCTAATTCAATGTAATATCCCTCTGAGGTTTTATGCCACATTCTTCTTCCAGTTATACAAACATGCCCTGCACAACTCACACTATAATTTGAACAGTAATTTTACACTAACACCACATAAGCAACAATCAGCAATGGTTTATCATATTGGGAGAGTTAAGTACAACCACAGGCTGTCTCTAAGCTGTAGGGATACAGTGAGAGAAATCTCACCACACATTTCAGTCCTGCACACTGTCCCCCTGGGAGTTCAGAAGACTTGGGGGTAGGACTTCATCCATCAGGAAAGTACTACAAGGTTCACAGACCTGAATGAAGTGCAGCTAAAATATAGACTGTCAGGTACAGCTCTACATTAGGCTGAAAATAACTGCATTTTCTAGTGTTCTTATTATCTTAAAAAAGCATCTTGTATAATTGCTCACACAATTGAAAGGAATAAAATCAGATATTCTGGCCAAGTTAGCTTGCTGTATCATTAAGCAATTTGCCTCATTGTATCTGCTAATGGCATGTCTAGAAAAAAGAAAAATCTGAGTTTCAACCTTGAAATACAAACTCTACAATCCCATATTTCAGTGTGTGCATTGTAAGCCCACACCAGGGAATACTTTCAAAAATAAAAATAAACTTCCAAACTCTGAATGCACTTTAAGGGTCAAAAAGCAATGGGAACAAATGCATTATTTAATTGTAAAAACCACACTCGATTCAGTGCAAGGCTGAGAAGGAAGCTCAGGCTCCCAGAGGCAAGCAAAGTGAAGGCTGCTTTGAGGGACTGCTGCAGAAGGGGCTGGAGCTGAGCTTTGCCTCAGCCCTGCCTCTCTGCCTGGGAGAGTTGGGGAGGTTGAAGAGCCAGAGAAGACAGGCAGCTTTTAATAAGAATGAGCTGCCATTTTCTCGGGAACAGTGAAGCAGAGAGGAAAAATGGTGGGGAATTTCCTGCTTACAAATAAATAAATTCAAAGCTGAGAAGAAAGACTGTTAAAAACAGGGGCTACTCACACACTGCTTTGACTCCATGATAAAATTCTTATCCTTTTTAATGGCACATTGTTAGCAGCTATATCTTTATTACAGTCTCTGTGTTTCTCCTTTACCCTTGTTAAGGGTTAGCTCCATTTCTTACCTGACCAACACAGGCTCTGCTCTCATTACCTTGATTCAAAGCTAACAGTAACTTTTAAAAATGCTCACAATAATCATCAGCCATGGTGTGCTTACCCTGAGGTAGTTGAGGGTGAAGTTTGTCAGACCCATTCGAGTGATGTTTTTGGACAGCTGCTCCAGCACCTGAGGGTCTTGCGCCTAAACAACAGAGGAAAAAAGCATTTTCACTTTGCTTTTTGTCTATTTGGGTTTTTTTTTCTATGTGCTTGGGGGAGTGCAGGGAGGGTTTTCTGGAAAAAGGTGCCATTCCTATGGAAAAAATTATACATTGATGCTAAACATAGGTAATAAGTTACAGAGTTCTGCTGGCACAGGAAATTATGAAATTGGAGCAGAATAAAGACTGGTTTCCAATATCTTCCTTCTGTCCATGCCCTTTCAAAAGATAGACTTAGGAGCTCTGGGCATGCACAGCAGTGCAAGTAGGTGGAACCCCACCAAAGGGCTTCCTCAAGTATCACAGCACGCTTTAAGCCTCCAGCTTTTTGGCTGGGAGCCCCACCAAACTAAGCAGACAAAGGCAGAAATACAGAAGGCATCACTTTCTTTTTGTGGATAAGAAACTGAAGCAGAAAGAACTCATCAAGGCACCTTCAGCAGAGCTTATAATGTAAGTGGCATTAAGCACAGGCTGGAGAACGCTCCTGGTCTAAGTTAGCTTCCCAGAATTAAACAGGGGAAATGCAAGTACAGTTCTTCTCTGACCCTAGCCAGGAGCTTTACTTGTGAGACCAGCTTCCTCTTTAAAATGAGATCAATCTCATTACTAAAATTAATACCTGCTGGTTGCTGGCTAACCTGCTTCCACTCTCTTTGAATTGCAGCGGCCCCCCTAAATGCATAATGTCGCTCGTGGCCATCCTTGTCCCTTAATGGGATACTATTGAAGAGTTCAGAAGATCAGCCCTCTACAGTAAAAGATGGGGCAGGTTTTCAAACGTATTTTCTTCAGGCGTGTAACAGCACTTTCAAAAATGCCCAGGCTTCTTAAGTTATTTAAAATTGCTCACTATGAACATATTTTTATCTATGGATAGCTAAGTAACTTGATGTCAAAATACAAGCACATATATAAGCCTGTGTTTTTATTCTCTATAACTATAGCCCTGAGATTAATTTGGTATATGGAGCCCTACTAGTCAGAATGCTTCTACAGTGCAGAACTCAAATTGGCAATAAGACTCTGTCCTTTGTTTCTCTGCAATGATTTACCTTATAATATTTTAACTTCAGAATCTAGAATATTTAATATTTTAATGTTCTATTGTGTGTGTTTTCATTCAATTGCAAAAGAAAAAAGTCATTAACTACAAAAAAAAATATCAGATTTAAAATTCTAAAGGTTTCTAAGTAAATACATGGTAAATACTTATTTTCTGTCTCACGCAAGGGTAACTTTAAGTTTGCTTCATTTAAAGACTAAACATAATTCATACCTACAATAATGAAAATTCACTGAATTGCAGTTCATATCAATAAGAACAAATTTTCAGCCAATGGGCCAATGACCAAATGGGATTAAAGGAAAACTGTGTGCTAAACTCAAATGAAAACATAGCAACAGTAGCAACAATAGAGCACTGAGAAACAAGGGACTGATGAAAGAACTTTTAAAAGGATGTAGCTGCAGGCAAACCAAAATATTTATAGTTAATTGCCTTGGGTGTGAAATTTGTTGGAGTTCTTCATAAACCTATCTTATCTGTTTACATTAGGTCAAGTGAATAAAGGATTACTTACATGCATGGCTAGAATGCTGCGTGGGACTAATTCTCTGTATTGTCTAATAGTAAAGTGCCATGTTTTTATTCTCATAAGATCATCAAAAGTAAACTCCAAGATAAGACGTCCTTCTGTGCACACCTAGAATACACAAAATGCATGAAATAAATTCCCAGAAATTTTGTTTTCAGTGGTATTGTATCATCAATTAAACAACATTTGAATGTATCAGAACAGTATTCTATTGTTTATCTCTGGTAGATTAATAGGTTTTTGTTCCCTTGGGGAGAAAAAAACGAATGTGGGAAAATGACTTCATAGGCCTTACTGCGGAAACAGTAACTTATAATACGATAGATTTTATAGCATTTTACAAACACGGAATATTGTATGCACTAAATCTCATTTATTGCATCAATTCTCTTTCCCTCACAGTTCACTACTGCTAATTAATGACTGAACCTCACAGTGGAGGTGACTGTGGTGCAGCTGTGTGCACCTGATGTCAAGTTGCTGAACCAGTCATTCCCAACCTGTTTTACATTGCCCTTTCCTTACAATAACTTGGCATACAAACCTTCCTTTCATGTCCAGTTGGAGTACACAGTGCCCTGAATGCCTGTGGCCAAACCTGGTATTTTTCCTAATTTTTTTTACTTCTTGTCTTTTCCAAGTTTTCTTGTTTTTTCCAGGCATTTCATTCCATTTTTATTTTTCTTTCATTTTTTATTTACTTCTATTAATGCCCCCTTCCAAGAAAAGTCAGACAGGGTGTCTGCCATCAGGCTGTATGAGCTGCATTGCCACAGCAGGTTTGAGAGCCAGGGGAGCAGAGGAGAGGTTGCAGTCATGGATAACAGAGCTGCTTCCACAGAAAGTGGCTCATGCAGCTTTGTGAGGGGTCTTGTCTAAGAAAGGAGACAAAATATGGGAGGAACAAATGAAGCAAGTGGGTACTACCTTGAAATGAAAAATAAAATAAATTGCTTTAAAACAATGGTCCACAGCTTTATGTGGAAAACCTACTATGGCCATGGTCTTCTTTAAGGTGCAAAATACATACCTGGCATGGTATCTTAACTAAATTTACCACTGTAAATAATGCCTGATCTGAAAATTAACTACCTCTGTTGTTGATTAGTTTACAGCTTCTGCTCAAAGTGGCAAACTATTGTGGACACAGGGTGTAACAGCTTTAAAAATAAAAGGTTTCTGCAACTTTAATGCTAATACAACCGGTATTTGAATGAACAACTAGCCATCCTAGATTCAGTTGAGCCTGTTGAGACTTTTTACAGTCCCCAGATCAGACTTGGCTGACCACCCATTTGGTCAATGTGTGGCTTTTCTGGTTAACATTTCATTTAAGATCATCATAGTTTTCCTGGTTGTTTCTGCAAAAACATGTAGGTAATTTTAACAGGCACACCATATAGACAAATTAGGGTAGACTTACAATGGACAATCTTGCAACAGGTTCTCATCTGCCCTTTTCAACACATCTTAGTGATGCGTTCAAATTTTTAATGTAACTTTTTTTGTCATTTGACCCTGATTTTGATTTTCACATCACTAGCACTATGACAAGAAATTACACAGGGGTACACATGCACACACATAGGATTCATACCAGAAGAAAAACCTTTTATATTAATTTTACTGTCAAAGCCAAAGATCCTGATTATTGTCTAGTTAATATGAAAATCTTTCAGGTTTAAAATATTTTTTATAACAATACCTGAGGCTTCTCAAATGTTTCTTCTCTTAAGCTCAAAACCCCCCAGTTCTTAACAGATTTATTTTATGCACTGGCATTAAAAAAATTTAATAGAAAAACTGAAGCATATTCCTCATATCACAGTGGTAAAAATTTATACCTCTTATAAAGGAATTTAATTTCCTTATGAGGAGCAGAATTTTATGCATTGCTTTTAATAAATAAAATTGGTGCAGTTCTTATTTTAAATGGGCCTTTTTTTAAAAAAAAAAAAAAACTGCCTTTCACATAGAATCCAAAAAATCAAAAGGGTCTCCAATTAAGAAAACATTTTCTGTTGTGCTGAATTCATGTTACCGTACTGTGAGCTCTGACATTTTGTTTCTGTGGTAACCAAAATCAGCTGATTAGTTGGCATGGCAACAGAAAAGATGTAATCCCAGCAGACACACTCTAATCAATGCCCCCAGCACAGATGGTCTCCGGAGGATCAACAAGAAAGAGGCTGGCAGGCATTCAGTGCATCACGTGGCTGCTCTAGACTAGGCCAGGAAAAAACTAAAAAAGAACATTTCTCAAACTAACCAATAGCTTTTTAACCCCTTCACTGCACTTATTAATTGTAGGAATTTCAACTGTTCACACCTATGAAAACCAACTTTGGTCCTGTGCCTATTGCTCAGAGCCTTGCTCTCCTAACAGGGCATCTTTTAGAAGACTTCTCCTTTTATTAACTACCATTTCTCAAACCTGAGTCGCTGCTTGAAAAGAAACCTTAGGCTTACACAAATCTGGGAAATGCGTCAGTTTCAAGGGCTTCATCTATAAAATCCAGCTGATGGCCCCAGTGTTGGGTGCAGGAAGAGAATAGTTCAAACACAGGGTGCTCACTAGTCTAGTGGCAAAGGTCCTGTCCTCTTCTTCTATGGGTAAAAAAAATAACTCTCCTCTGCCAGTCTATTGAGAAATACAAACATCGCTAACTGCAAAAAAACAGTTTGCCCACACTTTACAGGGATCTCTTGCCCTCTAAAGACAAGCTGGGCTACTCATATTCTCGCATGTTGTGGCCATATTTGTTTGAAAATAAAAAATGGAAATGCCATTTTATATATTTGTCCAGTACTGCGGCATGCAGTGAGTTTCTCTAGCTAGGAAAATGTTGACATGAATAAAATGCACCTGCAGATTTCTGATTCAATATGTGATGAGAACTATTTCAGCCCCTTATATTAGAAAATAGTGAACTTGCAGCTTAGAGGTTGTTTGTGACGCTGAAAGAGCTATTAACAAATACAGTTAGTTTGTATTTTTGCATTTGTGGAACTAAAAACTAACTACTTCTTTGTGGTAGTTCTACTGGGACAAATGCAGACTTGATCTAAGGACCTACACAGTCCATTGGAGTGCTGCTTATTGTGAGATATCTGCTTAGTTCCACCACAGATACTGTGAGAGTAGGAATTTACCTTTGGGTACAAGATCTGTGCCCTCGGTATCTCTGCTAGAAGTTACACATGCACAGCTGAGACAGCGATCAGCTCTAACTTGTTTCTGAGAGGGTAATGTATTCTTTTCTACCTTGTTCCACTAACTACTCTGTTTTATTTTAAATTTGCTCTTAAACATAGTTACATTTTAAAGATACAGCCATTAAAACCCCCTAATTTTTCTCCTAGAATCCAAATCACATCCCCAGCTGAACTTTTCTACTGGGACACAGACGTTTATGTCAGAATCTGCAGCGGAAGCATCAGGGCTGAAGCAGGCTGTGTGCTGCCAAGGCAGTGGCAGAGACTCATTGCTCACACAGGACGGTGTTATGGGAGTTGCCTGTGGGCCCCTCATACAAAGTGTGCACCCAGCCTGGTGCTGTAATGTTCTGCCATGATAAGCAAAACAAACTGAATTGATAAAATTGTGTGGTATTTCTGATTCAGAAAAATACCCCATCTTATATTTGCTATTGCATTAAAGCTTATGCAAAGGGAAATGACACAAATCACTTTAGGGAGCTCTGAAGAGAAGCAACTACTATGTATCACTAGTGTGTGTCTGCTGCACATGGCCAGCACATGACTCCTTGTGAGCAGGGAGGTAGCGAAGTGGTGCTACCTAGGACTATCTGGTCTCTTTGCAGCTTGCTTTCTCTTGTGTCTATGTAAGTCTCTGGGGGCTGGAGTGGGAGAGCTGGAATGATGACACCATTAAACACACACCTCGCAGCTCATCAGTGCTCCACACACCAGCAGCTTCCTCTCCCCCTGCTTTGAGCTCCACTCCAAGAGCCAGTAAGATGGCAGGGAAGACCCTACAGGGGGATGGGATGCAGATATGTGCTAAAACAGTGTAAGATATGTGCGTCCTGGTCATAATACTTTCAATAGCCAGTGTCTTTTTTGACTCTAAAACCTCACCAGTCCTGCAGGCCAAGGGCCAAAATGCATGGGTGATCTCCTCCTGCTACCCCTTCTCCTTTTGTGCTTTTTTCACACAAAGGTTAAAGTTCATACAGATGAAAAAGTACAAGATGGAAAATTATAATTTCCCATTAATTTATGAAAGGGGACATTTCAATTTAAACTTTTTTTAATGTAAGGAAATAATTTGTATTTTCCACCTTTTTGGTACTGTTTTTTATAAATACATGGCACTCAGTTTAATTACAGGACTAGAAGTGGGCAATGCATGAAGATAATTCACTATCAATTACAAATATTGAATATTCACTAACTGCGTGATCCAGAGCATGTTTAAATCAATTGACTCTTTCCATTGACTTCACTGCCCTTTCGACCAGCATCCTACTGTATTAAATCACTATTTTCCTAGAGATTTATAGCCCCTGGACTGGGTAAGTATCAAATGTAACACATACCATCCCAAATGGTAGGTACCAGCAATGTGAAATCTCATTGTTGCTTTAAAATCAAACCCAGGGAATAGGAGATGGGCAGGTTGGATTTAATTCATACAACTGATGGCTCTGGCAACCTGGCATTATGTGCTTCTCTTGCAATCTCTCTGGGAGAATTGCAGAGGATGCCCACAGAATTTTCCAGTCACATAATGAATATAGAAAATAGTAATTAAATGGCTTCAAGGGTTTTCAGTATTGAAATGATCGTAGTCTACCAGAAAAATGCAACAGCCAATATTTTTCACCCTTATACACACTGAAAAACAACATGCTTTATTGAGTCTTCCCTGTTACCTTGGTAAACATGGGTTTTCCATGCTGAGTGACCATGGTGCATTGATCACAGTCCACTGTGATGGATGAGTTGTGGTATGACTCTTTTGAGTGCTTGAGAATGTAATACAGGTCTGTTACACCTCCTTCAAAGACAGTGCTAAAATAACGAGGAATGAGGGTCCTTCCAATTGCTGTGAGGAAAATACAAAGCAGAATTCAGCAAATGCTCTAGGTTACAAAATCTCAAACCATTTTCTAACAGAACATGAATGATTTTAAGTGCAATGAAATCAAACTTTCATTTAACAAATATAATACATGTTCTCTGCTGTAGAAATGAAGTTGCGCCTGCTGCCATTGAAATCAATGAGAGGGAGTGGGCTCATCTTATTTAATCTTTTTACATTGATGGCAAGTTAGAGTCAGTCTTGAAACCATCTGCAAGGTTTTTTGTCCCAAACTAATTATTATACAGAAAACCACATGGTGTCAATTATAACTGAAAGTTGGATATTACTCATAAATGTGTAGATACAAGTGTTGAGCATTTACAGAAATATACTTGTACACCCAAAAAGGCAAGGCACATTTATATACTGGTGTTGTTTATACATATATGTTTGTCTGTGTGTGGGCACATGCATATATATAACCACCCATAAATATACACACGCATCACACACTCTTTATTGGAGTCCTACTGCTGCAAAATGAGAGTCCTGGGGATTGAAGAAGGACCTAAGAATGCAATACAATACATGATGTACAATATATGACTACCCACACGTCTATCTGAGATCTCTCTTCAGACCAGAAGTATTTATTAGAGAGTCTCAGCAGACATTTGAACTAGTGTGTATGCACCACTTAAACACCAAACTATGGACTTAAGGTACTCATTTCTGCAATACTTATTCAGGCAAAACTCTCACTGAAGTCATACCTCTCACTTCAATAGCAGTTTCAGGTAAGTACTACAAAGTCTAAATCCAAATACATAATAGCGAGCTTCTGAGTGTTCTTCAGATGCACAAATTAGGAAAAGCACTGACATTAAAGGCAATTATCCTGTATGCAACTGATGTTTTCCATCTTCTTTTTTACAGATAAATTTGGGTGTAACCACAAGCCTGGTATGACAGAACACTTCAGTGTATAATAGACTGATACTTCCATACAGAATGACTCAGTGCTTTGCATGATCTAATCAATCTACAGTAATTCTGTGTGTGGATACATAAGAATTGCCTCCATTTTACAGAGGGGAAAACCAAGTGATCTAAACTGTATTTTGGAAGAATGATATAGAAAGGCCACCATCAACAGGCAAGACTGGTGTTTGTTAGTTCCTAGTTTGTCTGTTAGGACTGTGTGGTGACTCATGCCTCCCTCATCTGCTTTATACTTTTGAGAGTAACTTCTGAAAAAATTATTTTCATAGGAGTTTTTCCAGCATACAAACAAAGGCTCCTGACCCTAAAAATGTATTTGCAAGTGGGTGTTGTAAATTAAAAAGTATGGCATTTTCACAGTAGTTCTGTGAAAACAGTTTCTGCTCTGAGCATTAAAATGTGCAGTATTGCATGATCGGTCATAAAGCACATTGTATGATGAAAATATACAAATATAGAAAATCAGGACTTGTTAAAGCTTTTGCTGTAATATTCAATATCAATGTAATATAATGTACACAAATATGCAACACTCTCTAGAAATGGCTGACAATCCAATGAATACATTGAATGATGATTCTACAACTCTTGATCTTAAAACCCCCGCGTACTCACCCTGCTCACCATCCATATATTAATTTTCTACAGTGTTTTACTCTAATTTAGGAAATCTGTAGTCCAGTGCATCAGCATAGGACTCAACTCAAGCTTTAACTCAAATCCCTCCATGTTGGTATGGTATAGAGTAAAACGGGGAATTTACCCATCAAGTTAATTTCTTGCTCCCCTAAGGCTAATTAGTGCAAATTTAATTTACTGCTAATCATCCTAAGAAGCGAATGTGTGATATGAAAATCCTGCATTCCTACTGACTGTGATAAACCTCTATTCATGTGACTTATGCACTGCATAAATATCTTGAAAGTATTAACTGTACTTTATAGACCATTCCCAAAGTAGCATGGTCATATGGTGTTGCTTTTTGCCTTGTATTCACAGCTACAACACATTAAAGAAAACTAGAATTGCATTAAATATCTTGTTCTTATTACTTTTCCTAGTAAGAATTACCTAGGTTTGCCACAGGGATATGCTACTGTGAACAACAAAGTGGGGGACCAAAAGGATGCAGAGGGATAAAGGTGCACATAAGGATATGCCCCATGGAACCGGATTTTCAATGACAGATGCCCATGCAGACCCTATCTGACTGTAAAACTGAAAATAGCTAATGCAAATTAGTCCAGCATAGATGATTATAGTTAATATTCAGCTTCAGAAGAAACATTAATGGAAACTGGTGTTAATAAGCAGGCCTGTCCTCAGTTCACCATGTGGCCTTGCCAGAGAAGACTGAAGCAGGTTCAATGTTTTGGTTCTCTTCTGCAGCACTCCATGGTTTAAAAAGATCATTTCATTTGTGGGATAAACATGAAACTCTCTACAGTGGTAACAAAGTTTATTTGTGCAGGAGGTAGTATTTCCAAGAACAACAAAAGGCTGTGGAAGAGCTCCTATAAAGTCTAGGAATCATCACAGACTCTGTGTATTTTAAGTGCAAAGGACTTTTTCTTGATTTTTTCTCCTCCAAAACATAGCTGTATATATGAGTATTCAAGCACTTACGTCTGTACACCCAGCTCTGCTGCATGCATACATACAACCCTTACCTGATCATAGTCATATGTCAAATGTGCTTTTCCTTCCCTTCTCACAGTAGATGGATACCCTCAGGTGTGGATGTACACATTCTAGCCCTGCCTGATACTGTTTATGTCTCAACAGGATTCTAGTAAGACCATGTATCTTCTGCCAGAGTCAGCTGATACTGCTTCCTAAAAGGACTCTGACTAATATGAAAGCAGCCACATTAAAAGGTTTGGTTTCGAAGGGACCTTAAATATCATCTAGTTCAAAGTCTCCTGCCATGGTTGCTCAAAGCCTCCCTATACATAGTTGCTTAAAGCCCCATCCGGCCTGGCCTTGAACACTTCCAGGGATGAGGCATCCACAGCTTCTCTGAGCAATTTATTCCAGTGTCTCACCACCCTCACAGTGAAGAACTTCCTTACATCTAATCAAAATCTATCCTCTTTCAGTATAAAGCCATTTCCTTACGGGACAACTTGATACCTCTGACCACCTCAGGATGTAGTTTAGCTATCCTTGTGCCAGTAAAGTGAACCCAAAACCTTGCAGAGCAGAGAGCACTGAATATGCTACTCACATTGAATTTCTTAGTGTTTTAGAGCTTGGTTTTGAGTCCACCAAACAAACTTTTAAGAAGGTATTTCTGTGTATAGTTTTGTAGAGCTCCTCCCTCCCACACCACACTTCCTGAAAGGAGCATCATATGGACACCCTTGGAGCCAGCACTCAGATCTTAGACACAGGAGCACTGAGCATTGGCAGTAGCAGTTTGAGTATGCAGAGAGTGGGGTCTTTCCATCCAGACCCAGAACAGAGAGTTTTTCCTGGTGTCAGGGCCCTGAGAGCAGCCTGAGAACACCCTGGGTTCAGGGTTGGGCTGCCAGGAAGATTTCCTTTCTAGCTTCTCAGGGGAATGCTTGCCCAGCTACTGCAAGGCTTCCTGCATACATTGTCGTGGAGTCCCCTGCAACTGGATCCCCTTTAAGTCCTATCTACTATCCAACTGTTGCTCTTTAATTCTCCTCCAGTCTTTTTGCTCACCTACCCCCATGGTCCAATCCTCCATTTTCTCATGTCATGGTTGCTTGCTTTGCACTGGTAATCTTCCAAGTTCCCTGTTCAACTCCTAGTATCAACCTGTCTTCTCTCCCACTCCTTACATGCTGCCCCTTTTTCTCTCACTCAAAGAAGCTCCTGAACCTTTCCCAAACCTACCTGATTTCCTCATTCTCCTTATTTAAGCAGGCCCAGCTATCTAGTCACAGTCTTGTTTTTTCCCACTCTCCCCAAAATGCCAGATTCACACCTTCTTGGTGCTCTCCCTACCCAGCCAGTCTGCCCCAGCTCCTTCTCCCAGGCTCCCTGCCCCAGCAGTCAGCCCTCTTTCTTGATTTTGTGTCCCACATAAGATTCTCTCTCTGCACTTACCCCCACTCTGCCTCCTCCTAATAGCAGTTAGAACAGCAGTTCTTTCTCCAAATTAATCGCATCCCTCATTCCTTCCTTCAGCTTCTCATCCAGCAAGGGACCAGGCAAAAGGACCATTTTCCTCTGGGACCCCCACCAAACCAAACATCTTCCCATCTGTGTTTTTCTCATTGAAAACTCTTTCCAACTCTCCCTCGGTCATCCTCCATCTTCTTTCACCTCCCAGTTACTGTGTCTCCCCTCTCTTTCACATTAATGTCATGTTGCCCTGATTTTTTTCTTTTCTTTTCTCTTTTTTTCTCCTTTTCCCTCTTCTTTCCTCCACACTCAGGTCAAGTTGCTTCCTTTGCAGGGCACCTGGATCCCGGGTGCATCCACCAACAGTGCAGGAGAAGGAAGTGTTTTCTGCTCTTGTGCGCAGCACTGGCTGATCCTGCCCTGCAAGCTTTGCAGTGGAAATGCCCATGTCTCTGCACAGCCCTGAGCTGCAGCTTGTCTGGTTATTATTTGCACTTGATGTGTGGGTAGCCCCACTTGGGCTCCTGCAATAAGACTCACTGTGTTCCTGGGGAGTCCATGGAAATTTTGGCTGTCAGACTCTAGTAAACCCTGCATTGAATAGTTAAGGATGGGCACTTTTTTCCCCCAAAGATTTATATATTTGATACATTCAGTAAGATCCCCACAAAGAGGACAAAAGGGTTGCTCCCTGCTGCAAAGGTGAGCAACCCTACTCCAGAGCATACAGATTCTTAGACCTTTAGAAAACAAATCTGCAAGACTTTTGTAACATTTTCTATTTGTAGGGAAAGGAGAAATCCTTTTTGGATTAAATAAAAAGAGTTAGCTAAAAGCAAAACCAGTTTCAGCTTCATTGGCTCAAGTTTGGCAAAATTATAAATAATTAGAAAGAAGGCCTTTTAATGGGACATATTAAACGA